GGTCTAATTGGACCACTACATCCCAACTCTTACAGCTTAAGCTGTGGATGATTTAAAAGAGACATATTGTGAAAGAGCGGGTGAACTTAACATATACTATCTTCCAAAGGATCCTAAATGTTAAATTATTAGATATTATCTTTATAACATATGAAGTATAGAATTCTTAGGAATAAGTTACTGTATTTATATATAAATTAACCATAATCTTTTCAAAACATCAGGCAAGAAACATTTTGTATTTCCGCGATATTTGGATCACACTGGGCACAAATATGCGAAGAAATTGTCTTGTTTCTTGGTTTTGGCAGTTATCTCCTCATCTGGGGTCTGGTGCACAAGTCCACTCCTTCCAGGTTTTCGCATTTGACTGGACTCAATTCCACAAATCTGGCAAGAGATTCTTTCACATCTGTCTGCCCACGCCATGCCAAACATCCTCCTTTTTTGACTGGACTCCAGCAGTCTATGAGGGAGTCCGGGAAGAAGAGCACTTCTTTTCATGACAACTACAGTCAAAGTGGTTCAAAGGAATTCTTTGATTGATTGATGAAGTGCTGTGAAAACATTTGCCTACATAGAAAAGCACATATTTGTAATAGTTTGCTGTTGCTTTTGTTCTACTCTAAATTAAGCCAGTATCATGAAAGGCATTGTATTAAATAAGATGATGATTAAAAGGTTCTTTTGGCATTTATATACTTTTTGAAATGTTTGCCATGTTTTTTTCATTATTTTTACTTTTTATCAAATTAAATCATAGCTCAGTGTTGAGGCTTTCAGCTGACAAATTCCCAGGATAAATGATTTTTTTAAATTTGTTTCTCAACATTCTGGAGATATGTTAATAATTTCAGGTTTGGTGAAATTTCCATTTCACTCAGAATTAGAGTATATTCACCTGCAACTGCATTATATTAGATGTTTACAGTAGCTATTGCATTAGAATTATATCTGCTCTGCTTTGAATGCAGACATTGATGGGCATAACTGCCTCCTAGTACAAGGTGTGTTTTTAGAATCAAACCATATCCAATGTGTTGACTAGTGCTGGACTTACATGCTGTTTATTATTACTGGTTTGTTTGTTTCACATTTTATCTGACGTGACTTACTGTTTATGCAGCAGGACTTGTTAGTGGAGCAGTGGAATGAAGTACCTCAGTCGAGGGTACAACAGGTTTAAACCCGATGAGCATTTAACTAGACAACCTTCCAGGTAAGAGTCCAAAACACTATGTACTCCTCTGAAATGTACTAGTCCCTAACTACTGTATAATGGCAAAGAATGTTAAGAACAGCAAGTGTCTGTAGTGTTGCTGTCATGTTTTGTTGAGTTGTTGTTAACCTTATAAGCAGGGTTTTGATGGTCAAGTGATAGTCTTCTTGTTTACCATTAGGGAGGCCCAGTTCAATTGGCAAAAGTATTGTCACACTTTTCAAACGAGACAGATAGGCTGAATGGCCTTCTCTCAGTTATAACCATTCATATGCTTTTCATGTCAGGATCTGCTTGGTAGGTGGGGATGCCAGGATGTTAGCTTGGTGCTGGATCTCGCATGACCCACCACCCCATGTGTTTTTCCCCCCAGTCTTTTCTCGCATTTGAGTTGCACTCAAAACTCTTTCTGCCAGCTTGTTCCCTTTCCAGGAAGAGCTTGGGAAGCAGGAGATGCTTAGGACTGAGGTGCTTGTGGTGAACTCAAAGGCTCAATAGGCCAGGACTATAACATCACGTGCCAACTATTTTGATCTGTACCTGATCTTGAGTGAACAGAGGGTACAGAAGAAATTTCGGAATGCTCATACTCTGTATTTGGAAACCTCTGAACACAAGGTGGGGGAGCTGGAGAACTGCTCTGGAAACAACAACATCCACATAATAGGTCTGCCAAAGGTTAGGCAATGTGACGATCCAGCCAGATACTGTGAAGCAAACAAACCCTATGGGGTTTCCAAGCTTTGCATAGCAGGCCTGGTGTATGGAAGGGGCAGACAGAATATGTGGAGGTCACTCTTCAAGAGGTGGCAACAGGCCCTGAGTATTGATTTTCAAACTTCTCCAGTATACAGATAGACATTTGCTTTTGAAAGAAAACAAGCAATCTCACCCCATTGCTCAACAGGGAGATCTGTGCTGTTTTTATAGCAAAGGTCCAGCAGACATGCACATTTGTGGCAGTGGGAAAATCGCTGTAAGTACTGTAGCATCCAGTCTTTTCTGATAGTCCACGTGGGCAGACAGCATGTTTACTGTAATGCAGAAAGAAAATCTGAAGGGCTCACTTTGACAAATTACATAATAATATTCCTATTTTCAAGGACACCGATGTTTTGACATTACATAGAACCAGAGATAGGGATGTCAGCACATTTTTACCTATACCTTGTCATTCAGGGTGAAACCCTTGAATTTGCCTAGATGTGTTTTTCTCTTTTGCCAGACATGTAGTTTAACATGTTTTTGAGACCTGTTTTTTTTTTCTTTCTCTCTGTCGGTTGATTTCAAAACTGAGGAGGTGTGTGACAGGCCTACCTCAGCTCACTGAGCACATGGACTAGCCATGATGGAAGGAAAACCATCATGTGAATGCAAATGAGAATTTATTTTAACCAAGTTCTATACCAGTCACAGCCTACATGACTCTCAGCTTCATCAATTATCCAATTAACTAAGTAATTCACCACACATGTACCTATATGCAGGTGATAGAGGCCTGAACAAACTCTAGTGGCAGGTCAGCTGAAACTAATATGCTCACAGTTGCTGGCCTGCCACAAGCAGTGTATCAGTATATTTTTTTGTTATTTTGTTATATATATTTTTTGTTTCACATAAAATTCTTGTTATTTGTATACCTGAAACAGCAAGTGGGGTGGAAATTGGTGTTTTGACTTGTTATGAAGATGTCATGAAAGTATAAAGTAAGTATCATAGATTCAACAAAAGAGAGGAAGGAAGAAGTTATTATTAGTTGGGGTCCCTTCTTCTCCCTTGGGGTAATTTCGTAGGGGGTTAGTGTTGTTCAGGAAGGGGTGGTAAACTGTTAAGGAGCAAGGTTAAGGATATAGTTTCTATCACTGTTATTTTATCTCTCTTTTCTCAAATAGCAGCTGTTCTATAAACAGTATTAATTTAATACATTTGTCTTTAACTTTGTACAGTAGGTGGTCTCAGGTGTAAAACTGTTTTTTTCTTATAACATACAGTATATGTTAGCTGTCTGGATTTCTTACAAAAATATATTGTCATGATACAGGAGTCTCACTTGAAACAACTAGATGTTTCTAAATGTGTTTTATATTACTCAGTGACAGCCTTCCCTTTCTTCAGTGGACAAAACAGATTTCTATACTTCAGTCAGTGTGATAAACTAGGGAGACTTCAGGTTAAAAAAATGCTTACATTTCAGCCTGTCCTTTCAACATGTTAACCAGATTTTTCTAATCTCCTGGTCAGATCCTTGGACATCAGTTAATTTAAGGTATTTCTTGGCACAGATATGGATGAATGAAAATGCCCATTCTGTGGCTTCTATAGCTTTAAGAAACATTTTTTTGTGATATGGTAGGTTTACGTCATGTGTTTAAACCTTCAGCCGAAGAATTTACTTTTTTAAAAAAAAGCTAAAAGTATTTTGTGATGAATCTTCAAATGCCCACTGTTGACATTTTGATACCACACTGTTACCAAAATTCAAATGCAGCTTCAAGTAAAATTGGAGGAGATTCTTGGTTTGAACTGTACTTGGTCATTGACCCTTTTTCTTTTCTAGATAATGAGGAACAAGTAATAGGTTTATTCCATGTTGAAAAAAAGAAGAGAGAAAACACAACATTTCGGCCGTGGAACCTTCTTCAGGTGTGCGGAAGGCTCCATGGCCGAAACATTGTGTTTTCTCTCTTCTTTTTTTCAACATGGAATAAACCTATTACTTGTTCCTTTGCAGCCTACGCATGCCGACGCTGCTACCCACCTTTTCTTGATAATGTTAAACAATTGTTTCTGATGAAGGTGAAATTTATTACTTTGACATTTTGCCTTGAGACTCTACAGTAATGAATGCTTTAAATATTTTTGATGTTACTGATGAATACCTGCATACAGTATAAACTCCATCTTTCTCTGTTTTTTATCCAAATTGTACAGTTTGGATATTAAATTTGAGATATCTCTTACTGCACCCACTGGTCTGAAGGCTACCATATCACCATCTGAGCAAAAGATTGCAGTAGAGGGCATGACAAAGGGTAAATCACAAAAAAACAAGCAAAATATTAACAACAAGGAAATGAGACACATTAGTGTGATAAAGGGAGATACAATGCAGGGAGGTTTAAATAGTTAAAAAAATGAATGCATACATAATTTACACCAAATCAGCCCCAAACAAAACTTTGCAAATCAAACAGTCACACTGTAGCTTCACTGACATCATCTAGGTTTACTTATGAACAAGTAATAGGTTTATTCCATGCTGAAAAAAAGAAGAGAGAAAACACAACATTTCGGCAGTGGAACCTTCTTCAGGTGTGAGGAAGGCTCCATGGCCGAAACGTTGTGTTCTCTGTCTTCTTTTTTTCAGCATGGAATAAACCTATTACTTGTTCCTTTGCAGCCTACGCATGCTGACGCAGCTACCCACCTAGGTTTACTTATTCCTTATACTAGTAAACATTCACACATGTGCACTCTTTTAAACCTAGAGCTCTGCCCCTTCAAATAAACATAGACCAATGACATCAATCACCACCATAAATAGATCTTCAGTGGTGGCAAAACACCTGGTTCCCGCTGCCAAGAAGGTCAGGCATGGCTACAACTGGTTTTATCATTCCTCCAGTTGGTCAGGTGATGAAGGATGGTAAGTATTTCCTCATCGCTTTCTGGAAAATGAAGGATCACAGATTAGGCTTTCCGAATCAAGTAATAGCACCACCGTCTAGGTGAAATGCATTTTCAATTTTAATGAGACTTTAATGGTTGGCAGTCTTCCTCCTCCTCACAGTTGTTCAGGTGCCAGAGCAGCCAGCCAAGTTAACAAATGGCACTTCCAAGTTAAAAAAAAAATCACGTGTGTGTCCTCGGTTGTGTCTCTCAGGGCACCTGTTCACCCAAATTACGGCTTCATTGAATCAGCTCATGGGCAACAACCTAAAAACATTTTCAGGATTTCTTTGTGATGTGTTTGAATGACAGTGGGCATGGATGCAATTTTACACCCTTCCCCAAGGCAAATACAGTGACATTCTTTCCAGGTGACATCATGTTAGATGGTAACCCGTTGTTTACCTACCTAGTCCTAGATCTACAGTTCTGGAAATGCTGCCACTCCCCAAACGGTCAAGACTGAAGACCTGGAAAACCAGCAGTTTGCAAATCTCTCTGCACACAATCTGTAGCAATTAAAGAACAAAAATGTTTGAGTTACCAGGAACAAACACAACCAAATATTGCTCGGGATTTTGAAATCTTTTTCATGTGTGTTAGAAAGAATACATATGGTTTTAATGCGAGTTCATAATTAGACGAAATGAATGAATGAAAAAGCAGTTGCTGTTCTAGTTCAAAATTAGGATTTCTCCTTTGTGTCTCAACGTTTTGGTCAGGCTCAACTGTAAGAAGATATATAGCCTTGTTTTATTATATCAATGTGCAAATTAAAACTCTAATATTTCAGAGATGTCAAGAAAGACCTGGGGCAGAAAGGAGACCATTTGATCCACATTTGTTATTTGGATGCCATTGTCTCAGCTGATGCCATGCTGGGCAAACACATTAACAAATAAAAAGAAATTCTGAAGTGTCTGTTCACAACAGAAAATGTTTTGGAATCCCATCTTGTTCAAAAGGGGCTGAGGCTGATGTCTGGAACAAGATATTCCCAAGTGTAATTGCATCAGAACCAAGATTATGAGAACAGTCATAAGAACCCTTATCTTTCAGGCACAACACAAATAATATAGTTCAATCCAGTTCAATGGGGAGGTCAGAGGAGAACTGTAGCATGATTCCTCAGTACCAGGCCTTGAAGGCCAAGTACAAGCTGAGGCTTTCAAGGTCTCTGGGTGTGGGATTTTAGCTGGTCCCTTCAAGAAGACAGATAGCTCAGTCAGTTAACCAAGAGTTTATTCAACAGTGTACTGGCATAAGCTGGTTACCCTCTTGGATCAGGTGAAAGAATAGAATCTGGGTTGTGATTTCAATCCACAGAGGGACCAAACTGTGCTCTGCAGTGGTTTTCCTGTACGCTCTCAGTCTGTCATCACAGAGATCATTTGGATCTGATGAAAACATCACTTTTTAAAAACCTCTTTTCTCTAAACAGTATGTGCAGTTTATGTTTCCCTAAAGACACATATTTTAATGTAATTGCTGTTTTTCTAATGTAAAACTACCATATTTTCCTTTTTTGAAGAAAGAGCTTTTTTGTTTTCAATGTTTTGACTCAGAATTTCTGCTGTTTTAAAATAATAATCTGACAGCTGTTCAAGGCATTAGTTCATGTTTATTAGTACTGAAACACTTGTTCATAGAGAAATGGTTTTTAATATGGTTAAAATGGTTTTAATCATTTTTAAAATCTGACAGTCCTTACCTTTTTTCGTTTAGAAGTAGAGAACTGAAACTGCACACCCATGAAATGTACCATTTCAATAGTTTTTCATTAAGGTTATGTTAATGAAAACCATAACAGTTAGTTCTCCTTCACCTCTCCTGATCTAACATGTAATCTTCCATGAAATCCTATTCCAAAAATCTACAAATACCATAGCATGTCCCCCCCTCTCTTATTTACAACTGTCTGCGTCCTTCCTGTCCATTCTTCACCTGTCTAGCTGCATGTTGATTAACTCTGCATAAACGTCCTACCTTCCTCATTCTGCGGCCCTGTCCGTAACTGCACATTATAACCATATCAGTTGAAGGTTACCACTTAATTTGCACACAGTCCCAATTAATATGTTACATACAATGAAAGGTTTGGGAAAACTCCCTTTATTATTTACCGCTTCTCTATGAACAAGTGTTTCAGGAAATTCTTTTCAATCTATCCAATGATCGGTAATACTTTAGGAGAAGCCCCTCCTAGCTAGTCATCTCATTGACCATGTGTACTTTCCATTGCCTCCTCTGCTCTACTACATCTTCTGTGTCCTGTCCCTGATTCTGGCAACCTCAATGTCTTCTGCGTTTTATTGTAAGTGAGATCCCAGGGACTTACACTGCCGTCCAGAACGATTGTCACCCTAAGTAACGAAAAAAATGATTTTTTTCTTTGAGTAATTTTACCTCACTGAAAGGTTAGATTCCTCTAATATTTTCAGTGTTAGATCAAGCTGATAAACAACAAAGACATTTTTCAAAGCTTTTTTTTTATCTCACTGTTAGTCAGACCTGGACTGTACTAATTGTGAGCTTAATTAGGTTTTCAGATCCTTACACATTGCAGACTTCAGGCCATGGGCATATTTACTACACACCATGGTTACTGTAGCCTTACATAAAGATCTAAAAAAGCAAAACTCTCATTATTCTGATTATTAGTTCAATTAAGCAGATGAAATCTGGGTATCCTTGAGTGCACAGCAGAGGAATCGGGCATGCAGAGGATAGCATTTGGGAATTGATATATCCTGGTATAAAGCACCAGAGGAATTATAACTGAGAAATAGAAAAATTGTCTTTACTTGTCATTTAATAACTAGAATGTCTTTTAAAATTAGTAGTACAGAAGAAGAGGGCAGGGAAAGTTCACATGGTCAATGAGATGACTGGGCTGGACTGGGCTAAAAAAATGAGATCTCAAAGCACTGTGTTTCTGAAGCAAAAACACAGTGCTTCATTTTTATCTTACCTGGAGCATTATGGTAGCCTACTGCTGAGGTTACTGAGAGTCAAAGTAACTCAATGTCAGGTTGAGTTACTGGCAGTAAAAAAATGTGTTTCTCATGTCAAGAAATCCACCCTTCAATTCTGTGTTTAATAAGACTTAGTCAAAGTTATTTTTTATATTTTCTACATTTTTTATTCAAAGAACACACTTTTATATATCTTCGAGCATGATAATAATACATGCACTGATAAAGTGGGTTCGAGTGCCTGGATGAAGAGAATTAATCGAAAATATACTGTTTCGACCAATGACAGCACTTCATTAAGTACCCTTTACAGACTGTATAATACCAGCAGCTAACAGGCAGAAACATGTGGAAAGAGTTTTTGTCATTCTAAATAGTTCTACTGGCCATGTGTGAAGGCTTAAGTCTTTGTTTTGCACTGTTTATACAGTATATAAGGCTGCCAATGTTAAATATGTATTTCTTTCCCTTTAGCATTTCTTATAAGTACCAACTAGAATTGTTAAACCATGTCCTATTCCTGGTTTATTGCTGCAGTGCAACAGGAATTCCAGCTGACTGTGTGCTGACTGCTACATACTGTACATCCAGCTCTGTGTGCTGACTGGTACTGAATACAGTATAAGTGTTGTGGTATCTAGTGATAGTGGGGTTCCTTAGGAAATTGTTGGATAGGCCATTGATAACCAGTCAAGAAAGACAGGCTGAACAGCCTCCTCTCTCTTTTAAACTTGGTTTTCTCATGTTCTTATTTCATACACAATAGAGCTATCCAAACTGTTGCATGCAAGAAACAAATTGTGGAGGACACGAGTGCTTATTAGGAGTGTTTTTGCTTCAGTATTCTGTCATGCGGCGTTTTATATTTATATTCATCCCTAGGCGATTTACAAAGAATTTCGCTTTAACATATTTTTAAGAAGCTTGAAAGATGATAAGACACATCTTTCAAAAACCAACCATAACTTTAAAATGTTATTTAAATCTAAATGTTAAAATGTGCTGGTGAATAAAAAAACTCAGTACCTAACTGGGCTGAGACAGAGGGAGCAGTGTGGTTTGGAAAATTTTAGGTACTGGTAGGACAGGCCTTCTAATCACACAGATGCCTTATGAATAATAAAGCAAATAGATGTTTATTACACGTTAGGTTAGTTACAGTACATGCCTTACCATCTTTGGAGATTGCCCTTCAGCCCATGAAATACTAACATGCATGACCAGGAGCCACCCTGAAAAATAGACAGGACAAGAGGGCACTAGGAGACCAGGAATGAGGATGCAAATACATTAGAATTATGCATGATCACTGAAGGTGACTTTAGAATTCTTTGGAACAAGTAATAGGTTTATTCCATGCTGAAAAAAAGAAGAGAGAAAACACAACGTTTCGGCCATGGAGCCTTCTTCAGGTGTGTTAATTAATTCCACACCTGAAGAAAGCTCCACGACCGAAACGTTGTATTTCACTCTTCTTTTTTTCAGCATGGAATAAACCTATTACTTGTTCCTTTGCAGCCTACGCATGCTGACGCAGCTACCCCCTGAACTACTTTAGAATTCTTTCCCTTGTCTTCCACTGGGTATGCTAAATCTTCCTTTTAATGAATTAACTTATATTTCTTTTCTTAAATAGAATGAGAATCCCACTTAACACTTCTGTTTCAATTATGTGGCACAGTCATAGCTCAGAACACAAATGTTAATCACAAACATAAATTCCACCCACTCATGAATCCTGTGGACCAGACAGTTATCACTGCCACAGCATTCAAAACATCTGCTTTTGCAAAGAAATCAGAAACCTTATCTCTACAGATGAAGGAAGAAAGGCTATTTAAAATAAATTATTTTTTTCAGGTCTTAATAACCTTTTGAAACTATTTCTATATTACTTTTTAAAATGTTGTCTACAAAAAATAAGATAGATAGCCATACAGTTACAGTGAATAAAATTGGTATTAGGATGTTAATGCAAAACATGATATCTTGTGGGAAATTGTTAGTAATTAATAAATAGGCACTGTCTTGAAATACAATAATCAGCAACAACTAACGGGCTTGACAAGGTTATGAAAAGCAGTACTGAAACAACGCAAACCAGTACAGAACAGATGCTCACCATTACAACTCAGAATTAAATATGGTAATTGTAGTTCATAACACAGATCTATACAAATATATTTATATTTCATTTAAAACTTAGCCTCTCAAAACAATATTGTTCAGAAGCAATATTCTGACATGAAGACAAATGTAAATGTCCATATCGTGTCAAATCCCATGCTGGAGTGATTGTCTCACCGCTACATTAAGCTGAAACTCAGCTTTTTCTCTGAACACTTCCTGCTTTTAATAGATACATTTCCTTAAATAAAGCTCCAATGACACCCAAGGGTATCTCTCAAGTCATGTGGGTAGAAAATATGTTTATTACTAGTTTCTCAATGCTCAGCACAACAGCAAAGTATCTGTGTGGTTTGCTCAAGTTACAGTAAAACAACACTGAAAAGTAGTTAGAAAGTTGCTCCTAAGCTTTAAATCATGGTAGCAACAAAATTTCTTATTTTGACTGACAGGAAAAAAAGGAGCTATGTGATATGGACCAAAGAGAAGACAAGCAGATCTGAGCTGTGCCTGATGCAGGAATCTGGAGGCGTTCTTTCTGTAAGCTCATATGTTCTGGGCAGGACAATGGAGGATAATGAGGGGTGTGCATTGAGCCTTGACAAGCACAGGGCACACACCTGGGAGGCTAAAACAATGCTGTACTTGGATATGAACCAAACACAATCAACAGCCGGCAAGACGTTTAAGGATCCTCACAGCTTGGGGAGTACAGAAGGGCTTTTCTGCTCCATTTACTGTTCTGGAAAAGCAGCATACAAGACTTCTTTGGTTTCAGAGAAGGACACTCATCCTCATCTGATCCTCATCTGTGTCTGCATACCTGCCGATCTCACCCAGTGTGAGTCACCACCTCTGTGAGCAAGTGATTGACAGACTCACAAATGCAGGGATGGGCAAATTGCATTCAGGCAGCGAAGAAAGATAAATGATGTCTGCTGTGTTGGCTTGTGGATATGCCTTACACAGGCTGGGAAAAAAGCTGTGAAGCCATAGTGCATTGCTCTCACTCACAAGAAACAGACTACACGTTCACTCTTCAGATTAAACCAGACAACACTGAAGAGCTACTGGCCTCAATATTGGCCTCAAAGGGCTGGTCACACATGTTCCCCAGAGAAACAGCCCATACTCTGAAGTGCCACAAACTGCACGTCATGTCTATAGAGAGATTCTGAAACTAATTATTGTATGAGCAGTTTACTCAAGTGCATAAGAACCACTACTGGAGTAGGCATTTTCAATATGCTTGATTTGGTGCTTTACTACTGTATACTGATTCATAAGCAAACCTAGATACATGTATTATCCTACTTTTTTCGTGGTTGTCGCAAAAAGAGTCAGAATAATTACCAATGAAAGTACAGTAAATTGATAGTACAAAACTATAATCATATGCCCTATATATGGCAGATGATTGCAGTCTCAGGAGGTGGGTGGGAGGGGGAGCTGCATGTTGACTCTGGCTCACATTTGAAATACCCAGACCAGAAACCTTGAAGGACAAACACTTAACAGGACACCACTGTTTAAGGTGTCTTTAAAGCAGCATGCTTTTCAGTTCAGATTTGTTAGATGTGTCTTTCTCTAACACTGTTAAGTTCTTGCTATCGCTTGATTTTAGGAGAAAATGAACAGGAGCATAGGCACTCAGTCACAGCAATCTGTTTTATAAAGAATTAGGACTGTGGAGGCCTAGCAGCAAAGTGCAAGAACGCTATTTACTGACATGGAAGTTGTTGTGAGAAATAGGGTATTTTGTTATTCCAAAACAGGTATTTTTTATTTCAGGTCTTTCACTTTTATGTGAAAACCTCTTGCCATAAGAACCGGGAAACCGCCACATCAAGAATTTAGCAACCAAAGAACAAAATGTGCAATAAATAACTATATGGCAAAAGGTGATCCTAAGATATTGCAGACAATTTGAACTGGGGGGGTCTCACTTTTTGAGAAGTATTTGGATTACTTCAGCAGTTTGTTGTCTACACTGGTAGAACTCGGGATCAAGAGGCTCTTTATTCTAAATAAAGTCACAATCTTTGCAGATGACTTACTCCTGTTGCTTCTGATCTCTTCCTTCTCAGTGGACATGCCAGGAGGGGGGACACACTGTCCACAGCAAGATCTGCCTTCAGCTGAAGTTTCCTGATTAGGTTCCTGCAGGTTCCATGAAGGCCTGCAGGTTGAACACAAACAGCCTGACTTCACTCCCTGGGATCTTTGCTTTGGCCTCGGCCATCCAGGGTCTCTCCTGGATGCTCACCTTCCTCATTACGACTCACGATCCTTCCACTTTGTATCTCCCACCTGTGATAATCACCTGCCTTTGCAGGCAGACTGCAACACCAAGTATGAGTCAAACCTAGGTCCCAGTTCACAAACCATTGGTGCATAGATTTCACAGTGTGCTAGAGGTGTCCTTACTTTCCCTATATTTCACAGGAGCTTAAACTAGGCTCCCACCTTTAATTAACGCACTGTCACTTTTGCCCAGTCCCTGAAGAGCCCAGTTTTACAAGCATTAATTCCTTTGCAGAACAGGGAGAATTTTCAGGGAAGGAGGAACTCCTGCTCTCAGTGTACTTCAGTTCCAGACAAGGCATGCTAAGTCCAGAGGCAGGGGATATTTTTCTGGTCTTGTATCATACCTACTTCTATGTATTTATAGAGGAGTTACTGAAAAAGACAGCTGGTAATATTCTGTTATACTGTGCAATGTTTTTACATTTTTTAAAAGAAGTCAGCTTTCATTTCCTTTCATTTAATTTCTTGCTTTAAAGGTTTCTAAATGGTATATCATTCTACTTGCTTGTGATATCTTTTATGTATAGTAGTAGCTGTCTTTTATACAGAGATACAGCTACTGATACAGATAGATACAGCTACTGTACCATATCTTTAAATCAATTGCACAGATTCAATTTGCCTTATTTTAAAAAATCATACGGCTGTGCAATCCAAGTCATAGTGCAATGAACATTTTCAGGAAAGTAAAGAGCAATGTTCAGGAAACATTACAGAGCACAGTGAAGAATCAAGAAAAACACATCAGAAATCTATTGCAGTACTTGTGTCCCATTGAGACGATACTAATCTTTGCTGTTATAATTCTCATATTTAAATGATAAAGAGCTACTATTGTTCCTCTTCGCAGTGTTGCATTATCTGGCATCATCAATTGAATGACTCTGGCCTGAGTAACTTGGATTGCAATGCTGCAAATAAATAAGGGCATTGTCAATTGTTATTTGTCAAGTATTTTTCCATTCTTAACCACTACGTCAGATCTATCAATAGCAGCAGCATTTGGTAATGTGTTTATCAGACAGTGTCTTCTTTGTGTTTTTAATGATCTATTATTGTTCTCTGTGCAATTTTTAAATTATCTAGTTATCTAGATGATGACGATTAGGATAATAATAATATTAATAATAATTTTCTGGTATTTTCTGGTATTTTTGTCTATTAATATTAATATTTTTGGAATAATTTCTGCAGCAGCATTGTATTCAATTTCAAAGCCATTTGCTTGGACATCCCCAGGTGTCTCATTCACAGTCAAGGCAGCCCAGGGTAAGTAATCAGTACGCTGCTTAAGAGGCCATGCGACAGTCTGCTGTGTACACTTGGCCCTTAGTTTCTGTGCCTTTCTATGGATACCTAATGGCTGCAGTGAATTTAATCAGGCCGCTGTATGGACTTGCAGCAGTGATGTAAAGTTTGTCTCTACTTCTAATTTGTTTCTTCGAAAACTAATCTGCAAGGAACATTCAGAGAAAGCGGTATTTTTTTTTTACAAATTCAATGTGGCAGACAAACCACATGAATAATATACCAGTCCCAAATGTCTAAATTTGATATTCAAAACAAGTTGAAATTTTAGACCTGAAGTTATGATGCAGCCACTAGCAGTAACGCTGTAGCAAGTTGGCAGTTTGACACCCAAGTGCAGGGCTCTGGGGGAGAACCCCCTGCGGTCTGTGCACTGTCTGTGAAGGAGAGGGCCTGGATCAACAGAATACAAATTAGAATAAATAACAGAATAATAAATAATAAATAACTAGTTTAAAGTGGATCCAGCAGTGAATTGGGGTCCCGAGGT